ACCCGGACATGGGCTTACTCAAGTCCTTCTGGAGCTGTTGCTATTTCTCCACTTCCCCCGGCAGCTTCTTTTGGATCAGCTCAGCCATGGCGGGACCAGCGCCTGCGAGGAGTGGGAAAGGGGCGCTGGGGCTTAGACTGGAAGATGCCCCAACTTCCCGGCCTGGCCTGGCGGGGATGGACAGCCCGCTGGGGAGGTCAGCCCCAGGCCACCCCTGAGCGGGTGAAAGTAGACCCCAGGACACCTGCTCAAACGCCGCCTGCTCTACTCATGCTCCCCCCTCCCCCCTCTCCCCCGCCCCACCCGAATTTCTTAAACATCTAGAAATCAAACCTTTGGATCCAGCAATATCACTTCTAGGTATATACTTTAGAGAACTAATACTAAAGACACAAAGAAACATGTATGTCTATGTTCATTGAAGCACAGTATCAAAATACAGAAACAACGTGTGTCCATCCGTGAATGAATGGATAAACAAAAATATACTATGCAACAATAAAGAGCAATGATGAGTTTTCAAAAAACATCATAACATGAAGGAATCTGAAAGACATTTTGCTGAGTAGAATATGGCAATTCCACAAGGACAAGCACTGTAGGTTCTATTATAAAAAGACAAACTCAAAAAATCAAATCCGCTGCCATTGATTTGATTCTGACTCATAGTGACTCTATATGGCAGGGTGGAACTGCTCCTGTAACTCTGTACGGGAATATAAGGGCTCATCTTTCTCCTACAGAGCCCACTGGTGGTTTCCAAGAGCTGACAAGAATAGGGTAGATGTTGTGGGATGTACTATTATGCAAGAACAACTAAAAGTAGAAATGTGGTTGTATGTGTATATGCACACAAGTGTTAGATACATATGTATGGGGGAATATATTGATGTATCTCATCTGTGTGTATCCATATATATTAATATATCCTCATGTGGACAATAAGGGTCATCACGGCACAAACAGATCATTCTTACACTTACATAAACACCTCACTGGTGTGTGGTGTACAGGGTCTGAAGGCTCAGAATTGTCGCGGGGGCAATTCAGTCCACTGCTATCCTCATATAATAGGTAAAGATTATGTTTGACATCCTAGTGCCGTCGGGGGTTTGAAAAGCTCTACGGTTGCCATCTAAGATACAAGTATTTGTCTTTATGAAGCTAAAATAAAAAAGAAAGAGAGAAACCAAGGCTAAGAAATGTGTCCAAATGAATCACCTAGAACTTGATGCTGTCCGCCTGTCATACTGACCATTGCTGTACCCTGACAGAGGCCAGCAAAATGTGCGCCAGGACTCAAATTCTTAAATTGTCCAGACTTAAACTCTGAACCAGGGACGACCAGAGCATCTTTAAACTTCAGATACTCTTTCTTAAACACTGAACTAAAACTATTCCATGAGGTCTCCTTTAAGCTAAATAATAAATTGATTTATAAAACAAACAGTATCATCTTTGAGTATTGTGCTCCTTTAAAAAATCATATGTATGAGACCAAACTGTCAACATCTACTCAAAACCAAACATGAGAAGGTAAGGGGGACAGGAAAACTAGATTATCGTAAATGGCACAATCAGAAACGGTGAGAAAATTGACACAGTGAAAAATGAAACCAATGTCACTAAAACGTGCGTAAATTGGTAAATGAGAAGCAAATTTACTGTGAAAACTTTCACCAGAAACACAAGATATTTTAATTATTTTTTTAAAAAGGGCAATATAACACTAGCAGGCAGTAAGCAAAGATTATTTTTTGAGCATCAGAGGTGGATTTTATCTGATTTACTTCCCATTTGTCTTCCCACAATTCACAAGAGGAGCTACAAATACCAGGATAGCAACCTGTGAACATGTTAAGATTATTCCCTTGTAAAACTCACTCATGGATTTCAAGATTAACTGCATTCCCATCGTGTCCAGCCAACAATACATTTCCTTCTATTTACAAGGTCACTTTTTCAAGTGCTCCTTTTAATTCCGTTTGTATAAAATTTATAGCACTCTGAAATATCACCGCATGTAGTCCCTGCGCAGTTAATATAGATTGGAAGAAGTGAATCAGGGCTAATACTGGAGAAATAGTAATATAAGCACTAGAATTATGGAAAGCTGCTATGCATTTGGGCATGGAAAATAAAGTGATATGTGACCATTGCAAGAATGCTATGGAAATTTATTATCTGAAATAAATCTATGATCTTAACAGTGCATGATATATAATATAGCTTCTGTGTAACATTTTTAAGCTAACAAAATACCCTGGCAGGTCTCTATATTTCTTCACTTTTATTGTAAGCGCTGTAATTCCCTTCTAAAAGCTACAAGTTTATATGTCCCACTCTACTTAACTTTTTATAGTTTATGTGCTTTCAGGGAAGTTAGATAGACAAGGGTAATAAAAAAAAAGCTTGCCTGATCAAATATTTACGGGCAACTATCTGTCGTTTTTTCATCCCACCCCCCCAATGGATATTCACTGTTTCAAGGAGTACTCAGCCATCCAAAGTCTGTACAATGGTAGGGAAAGTCATAAGCCAGTCAAAATGTCTTTCTTATAGAGTGAAATAAAGGCTAATATAATAGGCCAAGAAGGCAAGTGTGGGATTTGAAATTTCAAACTTCTTAGTTTTAGAATTTGACGAAAGCAATCTATCTGAACTTTTTCATTTGTGGGAAAATTTCTCAAATGGCAAATCCAGCATTTTTCAAGAGCATATGTGCTCCATTATAAACTACAACTAGAAAACGACGTCGTCAGGAATCGAAGTAGAAACAAAAAGATGGCTTTCACGTGTGGGTGCTGGGAAGTGGGTTGCCGAGGTGAGGATTCTGGCTAAAGACCCAAGAAGAGTAAGCTAAATAAACAGGCAGACTCTTGGATCCTATGAAATTGAACTAAGGTCTATGGATTTTCTTTTTAAGCGTTTAGAAAAGCTGGAAGCATTCCCCACGGTCCTACGGTTTTTCTTTCCTATCTTTCTCTTTTTGTAAAAAAAAATAATAATAATAATATAGGTCTATATCCTCACTGCAGGAGATGTGGAAACCACACTAACTTTAAAAACAGTCAATCAGCCTTTGGACTTCAGGTCTATTGTGAAAGCTCTGTTAAAAGACTTCCGTTAGGTGGGATTGAAAGCCTTATCCTGCTGGGTGGGAGGAAGTGGGAAATGCTGATCTTAACTTAGTTTTGACCCAACGTGGTCTTGAAAAGGGAATAAAGGGAAGTCCTGGCAGCTGTGTGCCTCCCCAGAGTCAAAACCATGACCTGTGCCTATAGGAAGTGCCAGGGCCGAAAGTGGTAGGTGAGTTCCTGGTGCTTGTAAATAATGTGCGGCTACAGTATTAAAATCCTGGCCATGTGCCCCATGACCAATGACTGAGTGCTGGGCAAAAAGGAAATACTGTACATACATGTCTGCTGAACTTCAGACCATCACCCAATTTTGTGTTGCTATTTCATTATAAACTTTTTTCCTTCATTTAGGGCAAAATCCAAATTTTTCCTCACCCATAACTTTCTTCAATAGGTTTTTTATTTGTTTGTTTCTGCTTTTATTGCTGTTTGATGGAATGCTTCTCCTTTGTGTCTGAGATTTCTTCGCCTCTGTAGGAAGGCCCAAGAGTGGGAGACCATTGAGTGGGTTAAGATACTCTGAATAAAAATACTAGTACATATTAGTGTAGAAGCTGAGTTTTTCCAGCACATTTCTTATGTAGGTTTTCATGGTAAAATTAGGCGCCTCGGCAGATATTCAGGTTAGCTTATACTCAAGTATAAACGGTAAACAATTTGAGCCTCCTTGTAGGTCAGAAATTTAGAAAGGTCTCAGCTGAGTGTTTTCATTTCTCAGTTAAGGTCACCAATCAATTGCATTTAGCAGGCACCTAAACTGGGCTGGAAGGTGCCTTATCGGCATCTCCTTTCACCTGGCCCACATTCCTCTCCACATAGCTTTCTTTGTTAGGCCAGCCTGACTTTCATTATAAAAGGGTAGTTTACTTCCTAAAGGGAGGGCAGAAGCACGACTGCCTTTCCCCTGAAATCCTTAAGTTCAAAGTTTTAGAACAGGACCTCCATCATGTTCCACAGATCTAAACAAGTCGCTGAACTAGTCCACATGTAAGGAGAGGAGAAATAGACTCCATCTCTTGGTAGGAGAGTCAAAAGATCTGTAGCCATATTTTACCCACATTAATATAGGTAAGTAACTTCTGTTTCTGTTTTCTGTACTTTAAGTACTTACTTTGTATTTTTCTCTCTCTCTAGATAAGTTGAGAACATGAATTTATTTTTTTCAAATAAAAATGAAAACAAAACTCTACAAGCAACAAATTGTAAAACCATGCCTTTATCTTAGAAAAAATATTTCTACAGCTGTCCATATCTATTTTAAGCCGAAAGGAAATTTAAAGTAGTTTTTAGCATATAACTTTCATCAGAGCCAACCAATTAACTGTTTTATAAGGAATTGTGTACAATTGCACAAATTTGACCAATATAATCTGTTTAACACAAAATTCATACCATAACTATTTTATATTGTTGAGTGCAAATTATATAAAACAGGTCTCTAAAATAAGTATATCAAACAGAAAAATAAAGGATATAGAAATTTAATCACTCAGGTTTCATTTCAGAGTACCTGAAGAAAAGAGTCAGGAAGAGTTAGAAAGAAAGCTGGATTTTAATTGAAAGCTCAATTGCATTTTGTAAATGTGTGCTGGGAAAGATGTTACAGGGACTGCTGAGTGAATTTTGTTTACTGCAGTTCAACATTCATCTAGTAAATCATGTGTGAAGGGACAAGTATAAATGTACCTATTTATGTAGGTGATTTTTCTGTTTCGTGTTTCTGATTCATCTTTCTCCCTTGCTTTATAGGGAGTCATGCCACATTGGTTACAATTAATTTCAAAGCTCTCTATCAGCCATAAAAAGATCTTTCATAATTGACTTGATGTATTTTTTTTCCCTCTGTGGTTTTCTTGAAAGATGAGAATGGTCCGGAAGAGAAGCAAAGTGCAGAAGAAATAGAAGGACAGAGCCAAGAAGCAGGTGAGCTCAGATGCCTTTTGCAGATTCTCTTAGGCCTCTGGAGGTGAACAATGACTTTGGGGAGATGAACAATGGAGGGGAACAATGACTGACTCACTGCTATTGTCTAAATTGTTTATATGTTTTCACCACGCTACCTCAGGTTGCCACACACTTTAACTGAATATGATAGTGCCTCAATTCAAAATGCAGATTCTCCTATTTCATTGATCAATTCCGTTTCTCTCTTATGCTCACAGTTTGCTTGGTGATGTTCTAAGTGGGAAGAGGAGAAGAATGGAAGGACTATGTCAGTAGGGCTGATTTAGCTCAGGAACAAATTAACATACTAGATTGGAATTAAAGAACCTTTAAAAGAAATGATATAGTGGCTTTACACTTGAATTAGTGGGATGTTCTTTACTGTTCTGCACTACATTCATGTTGAAGAGCTATGCTCCTGGTTTTCTTTGCATGTTGTTGGAGATATTTTTTGGAGGCTCCCACCTCATACAGATATAAATAAGACTGAAAGTTGTCCTTACATCACGTCTGCTTACTACAGGACCAACATATCAATTGAATGCATGATCTATGTTGTCGATTACAAAGTAAAGGTTTTTAAACAAAATAACATCTGCAGGTCTAGAGATGTTTATTATGTTCTTCCTGCCCATTTGTGTACTCGGGTATCCTCCCCTTTAAAATAATGGCAGGCATAACCCTGTAGCTATTAACATAGCCACAAACATACAGCAGTCTGCTTTCCCTTTGTGCCTCAGTTCCAGGGAGGACACAGTGTGTTTGAAAGGGTGCACTCTGTCAAATGTGTGCCAGGCACATCCGAGGCCATATGCTGGGTTCTGAGATCCCGGCTTTGGAGATTTTGCTGGATAGTGTGTCAAGTTTTGCACCCAAAACTTCCAACATTAACCTTGGAACGTTTGCTAGGTAATTGTAAGCTTTTATTAGTAACCTGGAAGAGGGAATTGAAGGCCAATCAGAGAAAGCAGTGAAGCAAGACAGGAAAGCTGTTGTCTACTTGTTATGGGGTTAGCTGGCTCCCTTGACCGAAATGTAGTCCTTGTGGTAAAATGAATTTCTTTTTTTTTTAATCGTTTTATTAGGGGCTCATACAACTCTTATCACAATCCATACATACATCAATTGTGTAAAGCACATTTGTACATTCATTGCCCTCATCATTCTCAAAACATTTGCTCTCCACTTAAGTCCCTGGCACCAACTCCTCATTTTTCCCTCCCTCCCCTCTCCCCGCTTCCTCATGAACCCTTGATAATTTATAAATTATTTTTGTCATATCTTGCCCTTTCTGACATCTCCCTTCACCCACTTTTCTGTTGTCCATCCCCCAGGGAGGAGGATATATGTAGATCCTTGTAATCGGTTCCCCCTTTCCAACCCACCCTCTGTCCACCCTCCCGGTATCGCCACTTTCACCACTGGTCCTGAAGGGCTCATCCACCCTGGATACCCTATGTTTCCAGTTCCTATCTGTACCAGTGTACATCCTCTGGTCTAGCCAGATTTGTAAAGTAGAATTGGGATCATGATAGTGGTGGGGGAGGAAGCATTTAAGAACTAGAGAAAGGTTGTATGTTTCATCTTTGCTACATTGCACTCTGACTGGCTCGTCTCCTCACCGTGAGCCTTCTGTAATGTCCAATTGCCTACAGATGGGCTTTGGATCTCCACTCTGCACACCCCTTATTCACAGTTATATGATTTTTTTTTGTTCTGATGATGCCTGATACCTGATCCCTTCAACAACTGGTGATTACACAGGCTGGTGTGCTTCTTCCATGTGGGCTTTGTTGCTTCTGAGCTAGATGGCCGCTGGTTTACCATCAAGCCTTTAAGACCCCAGATGCACCATCAATTTTCTTCACCACATTTGTCTTTGTCTTCAGCGATTGGGTTGGGAAGGTGAGTATCATAGAATGCCAGTTTAATAGAACAAAGTATTCTTGCATTGAGGGAGTACTTGAGTGGAGGCCCAATGTCCATTTGCTACCTTAATAGTAAACCTATAAATATATGCACATAGATCTATTTCCACATCCTCATATATATATTTACTTATGTACATGCTGTTATTTATACCTCTATACCTGCCCTTTGCCTCCTAGCTCTTTCCTCTATTTCCCTTAACTTTCCTCTTTCCCCACTATCATGCTCAGTTTTCATTTGTATTTCAGTAATTCCTCCTGGATACATTACCCTTGATCAAACCCTACCAGGCCTCCTACACCCTCCTCACCACCAATGTGGATCACTTGTTGTTCCCTTGTACCTGGGTTTGTTAACACCACTACCTTTCGCCCACCTCCCCCTCTCCCATGTCCCCCGGAACTGTCAGCCCCATTGTTTTCTCCAGATTGTTCATCCAGCCTATCTTATTTAGATAGACCTGTGGAAGTAATAACATGCACAAAAGCAAGACAGAGCAAAACCAAGCAATAAAATAAAACAAAACAACAACAGCAAAAACAAACCAATGACAAAAAAAAACAAAAAACAAAACACAAGAAAGAAAAGCTCGTAGTTAGTTCAAGGACTGTTTGTTGGCCTTTAGGAGTGTTTTCCAGTCGAGTCTGCTCGGTGCCAAGCCCTGCCCCCAAAGTCTATTTTTGGTATTCCCTGGGGACTTTGTTGCTCTGTTCCCCTTGCTATTCTGTGGCACATCCTTAATGTTTTGCCTCGGTGTGGTGGGATCAGATCAGGCAGTTTTCCCACACTTTGTCTGCTGTGTTGTCACCTGTAGGGCTATAGGTTGGTGAGGGATGTCGTGCCTCATAGTTGGGCCGGCCATGTGGTCTTCTCTGTGGATTGGCTGCTCTGAGTGGGAATATTGTCCTCAAGGCTTGGTGGTCCAGGATGTGCTCCACTATTTCTTCCTCCCCCTTCATTTGCTCCCGTGTGTTCTGATCAGACATGTCCCTCTCCCAGAGCTGCAGATTCAGTGCTGTCCTCTGAAATAAATTATTCTGGGGGGGAGGGGCAGGTGTCCACATAGTTAGCATTGGGGCCGTCCCCTCAGACCTCTCCACTGGTTCCTGACACCACACTGGAATGTTGCATTCACATCTTGGAGCACTGGGTTGAAGTCTGGTCCCTCTTTCCCTGTGGAGATATAAAAAATACCCTCCCCTTGGGTAGGTTAGTGACCTGTGCCCCACTACCCATTTCTTTTTTTTTTTTCCTTTCCTCACCTCCTTTTTAGTTGGCTACCATATGTTGCCATGGATTTGGTCTGGCCCATGAATTTCATATAAAACAAATTGCTCTTATCCTCCCTGTCCCCCATCCAATGCCCCATAGAAGACAAGTCTTTTGTTGTTGTTGTTGTTGTTGTTGTTGAAGACAAGTCTTCTGTGAAAAGCTGTCATTGATTTTACTGCTTGAAACATATTAGTCAGATAACTGCTGACATTTGAAGCCAATCTCTGAATATTTGTTTCCAAAACTCCCTATTCTGTCTTAAACTGTCTTTATCAGCATACCATTGATTACTGTCTTGATCAACATACCCTTTCTTACCCAGTTTCATATTCATACATACACACAGAGTTATGGATTGTTTATTCACCCTATGTCCTTTACTCAGTTTGAGGGTGACCCTCCTATATAGAACAAAAGAAGACAGTCTGGTCCTGTGCCATCCTCACAATTGTTTTTTTTTTTTTTTTTGAGCCATTGTTGCCACCACTGTGTCAGTCTATCTCATTGAGAGCCTTCCTGTTTGTCGTTGCCTTTCTACTGTACCAAGCATGATGTCTGTCTTCAGGAGTTAGCCTTTCCTGACAACATGTCCAAAGTATGTATGCCAAAGTCTTACCATTCTTCCTTGCTCTAAGGAGCACTCTGGATGTACTTCTAAGACATATTTGTCTTAGACAGTCCTTTTGACAGTCCATAGTAATTTCAATATTTTTCACCAGCACCACAATTCAAATGCATCAACTTTTCTTTGGTCTTCCTTATTCAATGTCAAAATTCTACAGGCATATAAAGCAATTAAAAATACTATGGCTTGGATCAGGCATACTTGAGTCCTCAAAGTAACATCCTTGCTTTTCAACACTCTAAAGAGGTTTGGGGCAGAAAATTTATCCACTTTAACAACATTGCCAAGAGTCCTTGGTACAAATTCAATGCAATTCCCTTCCAAATCCCTCCAAAATTCTTCAAAAAACTTGAAAAGTGAATCAACAGCTTTATATGGAAAATATTGGAACCTAGGATAAATAAAACACTATTAAAAATTTATACAAAGTAGAAGGTCTTTCATTCCCAGACCATAAAACCTACCATAAAACCATGGTCATCTAAACAGCCTGATACTGGTGCAATGATAGATATGAAGACCAATAGATTAGAATTGAGAACGCAGAAATACAACCAAGTACCTATAGATAACAAATTTTTGATAAAGGACTAAAACATATTATATTGACAAGAGACAGCCTTTTCAACAAATGGTACTCATAAAACTGGATCTTCACTGGCAAAAGAATGAAACAGGACCCATAGCTCATACCATGTACAAAGACCTAAATATAAATCACACCATCATAAAGATCATCGATGAAAAAACAGCAAAAAAGTGAAGGACCTTAATACAAGCCAATAGGATATTGTTGTGATTTCATTTTTTGAGATGAGCTCTGTGTGTGTGTGTGTGTGTATTTCTTTAAAACAAAACAAAATCCTTCCAGATTTATTATCCCTCAAACCTAAATAGTGGTCTGAGGGGCTTAAAAAGAAAAGAAAGAAGAAAAATAAAATTGAAATAAAGAATCATTAGTTACAAATTCATCTAAAAAACTATTTTATGATCAAACTAAATCAAATGTGTAGGTAATATTTCTGAATCAACTATTAAGCAAATATTCATAAAGCATTTATTGTGTCCCAGACACTTTTCTGAGCACTAGAAAAACAACAGCAAGCAATAAAACCAGTGTGCCTGCCTCCTTGGAGTTTATATTCTGATAGGTGAGTGCCAGCAATAAACACATAAAAATATTGCAATAGCACATTAAATGCATAAAACATATAAACTATTGCAATAAACATAAAAATTGCTGAGCAATAAAATGATACAGAGGGTCTAACAAGAAGGCACTTTTCATTAGATGGATTCAGTGAAAGCCCCCTGAAGCATTGATAGCTAAATTACATGTGAACGATAAGCTGCTGGAATAGAATGCTAAAGGAATGAAACAGAATATTCAAATATCTTAATTCCAGTCGGATTTTGTAATTTTTGAAAAGACATTAAGTGCATAAAAAGACAGGGAAAAAGAAAAGACCAAAGTGGAGATCAGACAGGACTTGCTCATCACTACAGAATAGCTAAAGTAAGGAAGACAAGATGAAGTGAAGTAGCCGTGCATTTGATTTCAAAGGTGATATCAAGAAGATACAAGTCTTGTAATGAAATTTAAAAGGATAAAGGGGGATGATATGGTTGACATTTCTCAAACTGAAAGAACTGGAAAAAAAATCAAACTTTAAATTTAAGGTTTGAGGTATATGAGTCATCAAAAGAAAAAAGGAAAGAATATAAAAAGTCATTGTAGCAAAAGTAATTGACCAATCTTCAGCCATTTTAGGATGTAGTATACAAGGGCGTACACCCCCAAACTGGAACTGCACTGGGTGAGGCAGAGCGTTTGTAGTACACATTGATTCCCACTAGGTAAGCATCTAGCAACTTGCTCTGAGTCAGTGCACCCAATGGCATTGCCTGGGAAGATTCTCTCTGCTCATAGTGAATTTTTAGTAAAAGCAATTTTGCTCAAACCTCATTTTGTGTGATGGCCAATTAATAGAACACTGTGTGGCTGTGAGATTTTTGTTCCCTGCTCAGGAAAAATGCTGCAGAAACTGTTGTGATGTTGAACACAGCTTACAAGGATGGTGCTATGGGGGAAACTCAAGTGTATGAGTGGTTTTCTCATTTCAAAGCAAGGTGAAATGTTGATTGATGACAAAACTCATTCTGGACATCTGTCAACTTCCCAAACAGACGTACATGTAGGCTCATAGTGCTTTGGGAGTTCTTTCCATTGGGTCAAACTGTTAATCAAGCTTTCTATTTAGAGGTTCTCCAAAGATTGCATAACAGTGTGTGACAAAAAATGCCCAATTTGTGGCAGATGGGGGACTGGTTTTGCCACCACAACAAGGTACCTGTTTTTGGCAAAAAACAGCATGCCTTTTTTGCCCCGTGCTCCTCACTCACATGACCTCACTCCATGCAACTTCTTTTTGTTTCCATGAATGGAGAGGGACATGAAAGGACAGTGATTTGACAACATAGAAGAGGTGAAGAAAAAAATGAGGGAAGTGCTGTCAGTCATCCAAACAGATGAGTTTGCAAATGTTTCCAAGAATGGAATCTCAGATTTGACAAATGTATTAAGTGTAGTGGAGAGTTCTTTGAAGATGACAAGATTGCTTTGTAAAAATATTTAAATACATAGCTTTGAAAAAAAATTCCGGTTTTTGGGGAGTACCCCCTCATATAGTCAAGAATTGATGGTTTGAAGGAAAGAGTACATTCGACAGAAAGGTGATCTAAGAAAGTACGAATTTATCAAATTATCAGAAATTATCAGTGTCATTAATATCACATCAAATTTTGCTGAAAATAATTTTTAAAGGGCCACATCATTCAAAAATAATAAATTGACAGCGATCTGTCAGAAATTCAGAAGAAAGCATGGAGCAAAGGATATGATTGCTGTCACGGAGACCTGATCTGAAAGCAGAGAACACGAAAAGGTTTCTTATCTGTGCTGCACTGGTTGTGCAAAGGCAATAAACTAAAATGTATCATACTAACTTATGCACAATATTGCAAAGAAAAGGGATTCCAGAACACTTACTTGTGCTCATGCAGAGCCTGCACATAGAGACCAACATGCAGCCATTTGATCAGAATAACAGGTTGCATCAAAAAAGGATTAGGTCAGGGTTATATCCATTATTTCATCTGTGTGCTGAGAAAATAATTCAAGAGTTTCCCTGGAATTAGAATAGGGCTTTGGGCGTGGAGACAGACTCATTAACAACTTGCAATACACAGGGTAGAGCCTTGTTGGCTGGACGTGAAAGGGACTTGCAGTTCTGACTGAAGAAGATTAAAGACTGTTTCTCGCCTTTAGTGGAGATAATACTTACATGTAGAGACAAAAATACATAAATAAATAATGATCTTCAAATCTAGGCCATAAAAACAACACGGAAAAAACAAACAAACCGAAAAAAAGATCAAAGTTGCAAAGATTTAAATGTATGTGGATCTACAATCCACACGCATGGAAACAGCAATCAGGAAATCAAATGGCACATCACATTGAGTAAATGTGCTTCAGGAAAATCTACTCTAACCTGTTAGCAAGCAAAGCTGTCACTTGAAAACTAAGATGTGACTAACTGAAGCCATGGTATTTTGAACTACCCCACATATAGTTATAAAGAAGACTTGATGCATTTGCGTTTTCGTGTTTGAAAATAGTATTAAATATATCACATACTGACAGAAGAATGAAAACAAAATCTATGTTGCAAGAGGATAACCAGAATGCTCCTTTTAGATGAAAATGGTCAGACTTTGTCCCCCATATTTTGGACATCTCATCAGAGGGACCAGTCCCTGGAAAAGGACATCCTGCTTGGGAAAGTAGTAGCTCGGGGCAAGAGGAAGACTCAAGGAAATGGATTGCATGGTAGCTGTGACAGTGGGATCAAACGCAGGAACAATTGTGAAGACGGCGCAGACCTGGGCAGTGTTTTGTTTGACTGTACATCGGGTCAGTATGAGTCCAACCTGACTTGAAATATTCCGCAACGAACAACAAAAAGAAGTCCGGTGTGGTTGGAGCATCGTGCGCTAGAGGGAATGTGATTTGAGGTGAACATTGGACCAAATTAGGCCTGTCTACAGAAGACGTAGATGCTCTGGTGGTATAGTGGTTAGCTTTGGGTTGTGATCTGCATGGCTTGCTTCTGTAAATAGTTACAGTCTCAAAAACCTGCAGAGGGGTTGCGACGTGTCTGCATCAACTTGATGGCAAGGAGTGAGTTTTATATAAGACTTGGTTTCATTATAGGTACTATGGGAATCTAATCGGAGGTTGTAAGTAATGCAGTGGCATGATGTATGTTTCAGTGAGTTCACTTAGCTTTTGTGTAAAAATAGGCCCCCAAAGGCCAAGTGAGACCATTTAGGTTAGAAGGTTATTGCAAGAATGTAATGATAGCAGTTTTCAGAAATGGAGACAATATGGCCAAATAGGTCTTATGTTTTGAGTGTAAAGGCAACAGGAGTTGCTGACAGGATATGATACATGGGAGAAAGAGGAATCTAGGATAAGTCCTAGATTATAAACTTCAGTTATTACATGGATGGTACCATTTACTGATATGTGTGGTCACAGGACATGGTTTTTAGTAATAAAGTAGGAATTCTGTTTTAGCCATGGTAAATTTGAGAGGCCAACCATTGAAATGTCAAAAGGACAGATACAAAATTCTGATTTTCCAAAGAGAGATTCAAGCTAGACATGCAGGTTTGCGTGATATTACAACCAGAAAACTGGGTGGGAGCCATTAGGGACATGTTGTTATGGAGACAACAAAGGGACCTTACAGAAAGAGTCCTGGGCCATCAAGGTTTCTGGACGTAGAGCAATAGGAGAGAAGGACCAACCAGACAAAAGGTGCTTGAAAAATAAGGAGAGACCCTTCTGTCAAATGCTGCTGATGAGTCAGATAGTGTAAACACAGGAAATGCAGCATTGTATTTGGCACAAGGAGGTCATTCAATAAGAGAATTTTTAGAGGAAGTTTGGAAAAGAAGCCAGTTGGAGTCTGATATGGAGAGATTATGAAGTAAAAGAACAGGAAATATGCTATCCTTTAAGGTTTTGTTTTTTGTGTGTGTGAAGGGAAGTAGAGAAATTGGAATTATTTTGCATCAGAAAGGTATATTTCACTTTGTATTGACAGAAGGTTTGAATTTTGTTAAATATAAAGGAAGGAAAAACACTAGACTTTTCAAAGACCATCTGGCGTCGGCATGAGGTACAGAGTGAGTTTGGTGGGTGGGGGCATACAGTGTGGTGACTGGGAAAGAAGTCCCTGCTTAAGAGTGTTAACTCTAAGATAGTGTGTTTTTCTTTTTGCTTTCTAGGGGGTATCAATACGTCCACTGTGCCGAGCCCGATTTCAGAAGAAGCGCTTGAAGTCTGTAACGATGAAGGTATGAGGTTACTAACTACATTGTCACAAATTCTCAAAAGAAGTATATGCTATTTTGATTCTTATGGCAAAATGATGTCAGAAGCAAATCTAATTTTTAAGTATTTCTATTTCTGACACAAACAAATATCTTGTCCACGCTGTTTTATTGTCTAAACACCAATTCAAGGCATAGCAAATATAACAAGTATAAACCTATTTATATATCTAGTCTTAGAAATTTTATTTCATATCTAGCCCTATAAAAATGTACATATACATTTACATTTGTTCCTCTGAAGAGTAGCTGTTAGGTTTCTTGGGTTAGAAATACCTCAATCCTTGGCTTTGCAAGAGAAAGAATTCACGCCAAAGCCTAGTTTGTGATCCAAGTGAGTTTTTATAAAGGATAGAAGCAAGTTCAGGTGTTACAGTAAACTGAACACAAGTCAGAGAGAGGGGGGAACCACAGCCTGGCCACACAGCACCTCTGACTGCAGGACTGCAGGACCCAGGGGGAGCAGCTGGAAAAAGAGGAGGTGGTCTACTGGTTCAGGTGGGCCTGTGGCTGTTGCGGGGTGGGTGGCAAGGGGGAGTCGATGGTCCTGGTTGACCCCATTGGCTGAATTAAGCCCAGCTGGCCTAGATTGGGCCAATCCAGGTGTACGGCCCCTTCCTGGCTTGGAGTCTGAGTTTGCCCTTGCCCTTGCCCTTTATCCTTTATGCGTGGTTAGGCTCACCTGATTCTCTGCAGCAAACTCCTTTAGGGCGCGCCTTGGCATAGAGAGGGAAAACTCCTTATCTGGCTACATAACATAACTATTTATTAAATAAGAGAATGATTAAAGAAATTATGTTTGGAGATGTTTATTTGAGCCCAGAGAATTAGCTATGAGTCGGTATTGACGTGACGGCAGTGAATCTTTTAGTTTAGAGCCATTCATAGCTACTTATCAGGATCAGTCCAAAAGAGGGGAATTTGGAGACCACCTGCTAGAGATCTTCATTATCCAAGACATAAAAAGTAGGAAGAACTATTGGAAAGGCATTCTTAGAAGCTCTTCTTGGTGAGCATATCATTCCCCGTTCTATGGATAGTTACCATGAGAAAAAATGTTGCTGACTCAAGGCTCATAGGAAGAAAAACATAAGAGAAAAAGCAGGTGAAAACTCAAGGGAAAATTACTGAAGACGTTTCTTTGAGGGCACTAGGACTTAAAAAAGACATGTGAAGCAAAATTAAACAAAGCTTTATTTTCTTCTATTCCAATTAAGGGCAAGTCCCTACACACACACACACACACACACACAAGGTGTTAATATTTTAGATAGTATTTTACCTGTCACTGGTGACAGACTATATCATTGTTTTAGTAAAAATAGAAATGATAGGGAAATAGGTTTATACTTGTTATGATATTTGCTATACCTTGAATTAGTGTTTAGACAATAAAAGTATATGGAATTTTAATATTCTGTTATTTGCAGTATTAATCCCTTTTCAAGGTACCTGGTAAATGAGTCTCTTCTAAATGGTGTATTCTGTGTAATGAGGGTAACTACCACATATACTCGATTATAAGCCAACCTGAATATCAGCCAAGGCACTTAATTTTACCACAAAAACTGCATAAAATATGTGCTGAAAAACTCGGTTTATACACGAGTATCTATGGTACTGAAGAATATGAGCTTTGGGGATACCGACAGCTTATATTTTGGCCCTGCCACTCACAATTTGTGGTAGGAAGGGCAAGGAATTCAAGTAATGATAAAAAAATTACCAAGTAATGATGAGTAAGAGGAAGCATTTTCAGTGCTTCAGCTTTCTCTCCTCTAAAATGTGAATAACAGATGGTGGGACAAGAGGAAAGTAAAAGGAAATAAAGGAAAGAAACAGAAACAAAGGACATTTATAGAGGCCTAAATACAGGCATGTACATATGTAATTACAAAAAAAAATGAGAGGGGAATAGAACTATGTACTCATATCTATATGTTAAGAATTAAGGTTGCAGATGGACATTGGGCCTCGACTCAAGTACTCCCTTAACACAAGAACACTTTGTTCTAAAAATCTGGCATTCTGTGATGTTCACCTTCCCAACACAATCGCTGAGGACAAAGTGGGTGCATAAGCAAATGTGGTGAAGAAAGCTGATGGTGCTCAGCTATCAAAAGATATAGCGTCTGGGGTCTTAAAGGCTTGAAGGTAAACAAGCAGCCATCTAACTTAGGAGCAACAAAGCCCACATGGAAGAAGCACACCAACCTGTGTGATTATGAGGTGTTGATGGGATCAGATATCAGACATCTAAGATCCAGAACAAAACCATACCCAAGGTGAATTGGGGGGAGGGTGATGGAATGGAGACCCAATGCCCATCTATAGACAATTGGACATGCCCTTACAGAGGGGTCACAGGGAAGAGATGAGCCAGTCAGGGTGCAGTACAGCACTGATGAAACACACAACTTTGATTTAGTTCTTTGGTGCTTCCTTCACCCCACTATCATGACCACAGTTCTACCTTACAAATCAGATTAGACCAGAACATGCACACTGCTACAGATAAGAGCCGGCAACACAGGGAATCAGGATAGATTAAGCCCCTCAGGGCCAACAAGGAGAGTAGAGATACCAGGAAAATTAGGGGAGGGTTGGGGCAGAAAGGGGGAATCGAACACAAGGATCAATCTAGAACCCCTTTCCAGGGGGACGAGTAATGCAAAAGTGGGTGAGGGGTGATGAAGGACGATGTAAAATATGGAAATAATAATCTATAACTTATGAAGTGTTAGTGCGGGAGGATAGGTGGGGGAGGGAGTGGAGAAAAGGGGGTAGCTGATATCGGGCTCAAGTGGGAAGAAAATGCTTTGAAAATGATGATGGTGGCATATGTGCAAATGTGCTTGACACACTGGATGAATGTATGGATTGTGATAAGAGATTTAAGAGCCACCAATAAAAGTATTTTTTAATATGGATAGCAATAGTACCCACCTCACAGAATATAATAATACATGTGATGTTGCTTAACTGGTTACCTACATGTGCACATAGAGTTCCCTAGAAGACAGACTATGAGGTGGAGATTAGGGAAAGACATTTATTAGGCTGGGTTATCTAGAGGAGCCAATCGAGTATATATATACTGAGAGAGACAGACAGAGAGAGAAAGAGATGTTAAATTCATGGATATAGCTCACAGTTGGAGAGGTGATCAAGTCCCGATTCAGGAGTAAGACATAAAACTGGAAGCTTTTTCTTACATGGCTAAAGAGGCTGAAGAATACAGTGTCTGAAGGTCAGATGGTAGGCTCTTGGGGTTGTGGGAATGGGTAAATCTCAAAATTTGCAAGTCAGATGGCCTAATCAGTTTGCTGATATTCCAAAAGTTCAGAGGATTCCGATTTGGGTGCAGGATCCAAGCTTTGCAAGAACATGTCTGTATATTGAATGCATGTGGATATTCCCATGGAAATTCCCCTTATAATCCATTGGCTACTCACATCAGATTACAAAATGGAAAATGATTACATAATAGCTGCCAAACCACTGAAGTCCATGACTTTGGCACATTATCTCAAATAACCATCACAGGAGAGATCTCACATAAACACCTGTGAAAGGGAACGATTAAGGAAACAGGATTGAATGATGGGACAAAGTGAGTGGCAATACAGTCTCTGTGGAAGCCTCAAATAATCCAATGGTAGATAGGTCATTTACAGAAGGCTATCTAGGCTTCTGCAGAGGTAAGAGCACCTGGTCTTTAAAAGCTCCCATTGGCCTACTAATGGGCTTTGGATCTCCACTCCGCACTCCCCCTATCATTCACTATGGTAAGATTTTTTTGTTCTGATGATGCCTTATACCTGATCCCTTCGACACCTCATGGTTGCATAGGCTGGTGTGCTTCTTCCATGTGGGCTTTGTTGCTTCTGAGCTTGATGGCCGCTTGATTACCTTCAAGCCTTTAAGACCCCAGATGCTATACTTTTTGATAGCCGAGCACCATCAGCTTTCTTCACCACATTTGCTTATGTGCCCATTTGTCTTCAGTGATAAGTTCGACACCTTGTGATCACACAGGCTGATATGTTGTTCCATGTGGGCTTTGTTGCTTCTGAGCTAGATGGCCGCTAAGCCCATTAGTAGGCCACTGGAGATCCCCTTGCAGAGGGGTCTCGGGGAGGAGATGAGCCAGTCAGGGTGCGATGTAACAACGAAGAGAAATACAACTTTCCTCTAATTCCTAAATGTTTCCTCCCCGCTCCCACTACCATGACTCGAATTTGACCTTGCAAGTCTGGCTAGACCAGAGGATGTACACTGGTACAGATAGGAATTGAAAATACAGGGAATCCAGGGCAGATGAGCCCTGTAGGATGAGTGGTGTGAGTCGTGAAACAGAGAGGGTAAAGGGAGAGTGGGTAGGAAAGAGGGAACCAATAACAAGGAACTATATGTGACCTCCTCCCTGGGGGACAGACAACCGAAAAGTGGGTGAAGGGAGACGTCGGACAGGGCAAGATATGACAAAATACCAATTTATGAACTATCAAGGGCTCATGAGGGAGGGGGGAGCGGGGAGGGAGGGGAAAAATGAGGACCTAATGCAGGGGGTTTAAGTGGAGAGAAAATGTTTTGAGAATGATGTACAAATGCGCTTTGCACAATTGATGTGTGTATGGATTGCGATAATAGTTGTATGAGCCCCTAATAAAATGTTTAAAAATAAATAAATAAATAAAAGGTCCCATTGGAAAGACAGTTGACAATATCTGGCCTGGTGAAAGGGTATGGTCTTGGATGAGGCAACTCTCTTCCATTGAGGCAATCCTGGAAGCTGGAGATGGATGATGGCTGTCTAACCTGTAGCTAGGAAAGTAAGTTTTGTATTCCTAAGGAAGAATCAGTTTGGCCTGCAGCATCCATCACAACATTATTATCTTCAGGGATTCCTCTCTTTTTCATTGCCACTCTTTAAATGCATCATTTGGCTCCTCCCTTTATAT